CCCCAAAACCCCAAAACCCCAAAACCCCAAAACCCCAAAACCCCTCAAAATTAGGAGAGTGTTGAAATCACAATAAAATTAGTTAATTAATATGGAAAGTTACTCAAACACTCTTTCATCAGATTGGGTTCCTCTAGGAGGGAATGAAGGTACTTGTCACTCAAATTTGCTTCTAAATTTTACAAACCCTCTAAAATATTTTTAGTTGTTGAAAATACTAACGAAGAAAGCAAGTTGCCTGAATTAGATTTTGATGCAATGTTTGCTGCCTCCACACCAGCAGATGCTGGAATTGAGAGCAACCAAGATGGAGTTGTTGATATCAGATACTTACTTGGCACTCAAGGTAGATCAACAGAAGCTGACTGTCCTGAGGTCATGGTTATAGAGAAGAAAATGGAAGAAGAGGGAGATGCAGTTCTTCTCCCACTTACAGAAGAATTTAAGGATGCCCCAACAGAAGAAGACCACAGTAAAGTAATGGTATTAGATGCAAGAGCCTTCTTTTTGAGAAAAGTCTCAGCAGAAGTACTAAGTAAAGATAGAATGAATGCTAAAGAAGGAGAAAAGGTAGAATTCACAACTTGCAACGATGTAATAAAAGAGATAAAAGATGAGAGTACTAGACTTTATGTAGATAATCTCCCTTTCAAGTTAGATTGCAAAGATCCAAGCGATGCTGCTATAAAGTTCGTATCAAAGTTCTCTAAAGAAACTGGTGATTACAAGTCACTGTCAGGAACTGATCTTAGAGTGATTGCATTGGCATACTCTATTATTTTGCAAAGAAAAGAAGCTAAATATTGCAGAAAATCTCCTCCAACTCTTGAAGAATTTAGACCTGCATGGATGGATAACAAAAAGAAAACTAAAAAGCAGGAGAAGCTTGAAGAAGTCGAAGAGGAAGAAGATGATGGATTCAAAGTCGTTGAGAAAAAGAAAAAGCCAAAGAAAAAGAAGTTTAGAAGAAATGTAAAGAAAGACTTTTACCCAGAGGCTTTCCTCAATGAGCTGAGTAAGAATAAAAATACTAATAAAGATAACACTCCAAACGAGAATGAGGAGAAATCAAATTCTGGAAATGAGCAGGTTGAAGCTAGGGAGGAAACAGAAATTGAAATCCCAAAAGGAAGTATTGAAGAACCGAGCGCTACCAACGAATTGACAGAACCAGCCACTGAGGAAGACCCTCAGAATGAAACACCCACTGATGAAAAAGATAAGGATGTAAAGATAGATGAAGATGATGTCTTGGTTCAAAAAGATACAGTTGAATCTTCAGAAAGTGATAATCAGGAAGATGACTGTGATGATGAATGGATCACACCTGATAATATCAACACTTATCTTCTTTCTCAAGATGATCAAGGTCATCAAAATGACAAAGTTGAAGATAACTCAAGAAAAGTCAGTGTAGAAGTGGTCACAAGTGATTTTGCAATGCAAAATGTCCTTATGCAAATAGGTATTCCAGTTGTATCTCTTGAAGGAGTTGAGATAAGACAAATAAAGAGATTTAAACTGAGATGTGATGGATGAAAGCAGATTAACCAAAGAGTCGATGTCGAATTCTGTCAAAAATGAGGAGGCCATACTTTAAGAAAAGTGTCAGTATTTGCAAACTCCAATGGAAAAATTACATTTTTCAAGGGTAAAAGACTTAAAAAGAATAATAGAGGAAATCAATTTGATATCCCTATCCCAAAATCTGGAAGACATAGCCAGGCTATGATTCTGAGAGAAGACCAGCTCTGGAGAGGACAGAATAAATTGAAAATGAAAGAACAAGAGAGATTAGAAGACAAGATCAAAAATAAGATTGGAGACCACTTCAATGATTTAGTCAGCTTTGAGCACAAAAGAAAAGAAGATAGCAGGACTGAAGGTACTACAACCTATGGCTTCGGTAAAAAGAATCCTAATATTCCACAAAAGAGGTACTCCAAGAAGAAAAAGCATTAATTCCTTTATTAAATTTACAATTTTAGATGGCTCTAGTGGGGTTTTGGGGTTTTGGGGTTTTGGGGG